CTCCCGACTCCCAGCGCCACAGGATCCGAGGGAAACTCCGGCAAATTTACAAACCAGAGTCAGGAGTTCCAGATAGAAGTGGCTGACTGTCAGGGAGACGAAGAGTTATCTGTCACACCTATTCGTCTCTGCCCCTGCCTTTTATCCACAGCTGAGGGGGGGGCTCTGTTAGCAGTGGTAGCTCTTCCACCCCGAAGACCGGCCCATAGCCTCTCACTGTTCTCCTCTTCTCAGCCTACACCGCGCCCGCGCATCAATCACTGGCCCCATGTGATTCTCCTCTCCTCCTGAATCACTTGCCTCAAGGCATGGAGGTCTCAGCCTTTCCGTCTGGGGGCTGGCGGACAGCCCAGGCTCCGCCTCTGTCCCTGGCTGTGACAGCTCCATTCCTTCGTCCCCATCTCCCTGACGCTGGGGCCGACACCCACTCCTGTGCTCCCTCCTCTGAGTTGGTTGCGGAGTCCTCCGGCCAGCGACAGGCCACAACACCCAGGGATTGAGGACCCCTATTTTAGAGTACCTTAAAAAAATGATAAGAGAAGCCAGCAGTCATTTTAGCTATTAAGCACAAGAACTTCACCTTGTCTGGAAGGAAGGAAGGAAGGAAGGAAGGAAGGAAGGAAGGAAGGAAGGAAGGAAGGAAGGAAGGAAGGAAGGAAGGAAGGAGGAGGAGGGGGGAGGGAGGGAGGAAGGGAGGGCAATGAAAAGATTGAAGGGCAATGACAGGTTTTAGTGGGTCAAAGTGCTTTTGGAAAATGTCGGAAGTAGAATCCAGGATTTTTTTTAAAATTTCAAATTTTCCATAATCTATTTATTCCATTCGTTCCCTCCAAATGACAGCATGCCGGGTCACCCTTGGCAATAATCATTTCTTTCTTCTAGGCAGCTACCATGTCAGGGACTCCTCATCTCCTGCTGTCCTACAAATAAACATTGGGAGATCTTCCCCAAACCCTCGTGATGATTATTTGGGTAAGGCGATGATCCGTGAGCAGGACAGTTTCATTTCACCTTCTTTGCATTTCACTGTCGCAGCCAGTTGGGGGCAGAGATGGTTTTATTTCATTTCCACAAATTGTTTTGCTTATTTATCGATGTGCTACTACCGTATTTCCTTGAAAATAAGACCCAACCGGAAAATAAGCCCTAGCATGATTTTTTAGGATTTTTTGGGAGCCCCACCCCAAAAATAAGCCCCGATTAAGATCGTCAGCCAGACGGATGCATTTAGTATGTCCATTACAACACATGACAGATATATTGAATTATAAAATAATAACAATATATAAATAAACATAAATAAATTATATTATTGACATTATGTATTTGAATAAATGTAGATTGTTGAACATGAAAAAAATAAGACATCACCTGAAAATAAGCCAGTGATGGCGAACCTTTTAGAGACTGAGTGCCCAAACTGCAACCCAAAACCCACTTATGCATCATCGAATGCCGGGTGGGTGTGGCCCATTGGCTGGGTGTGGCTGCAGTGGTAATGGCAGACTGGGTGGGACTAAAAAGTTCAATCAATCAATTCCAACTTTGCAAGATCTTTTTTTTTCCCGCGAGGTTGAAATTGACTGATTGAACCTTTTTTTTTTTTTGCACATGGCGGCAGAGGCCTAAAGCAAAAAGGTTTTATAAAACCCAGCTGAAGGCCTAGGACTGGAGCGATGACGCGCGTGCCCACAGAGAGGGCTCTGAGTGCCGCCTCTGGCACCCGTGCCATAGGTTCGCCACCACTGAAATAAGCCCTAATGCATCTTTTGGAGCAAAAATTAATATAAGACCCGGTCTCATTTTCGGAGAAAATGGTAAAATTGTTGTGTCTCTTTTGCCTGGAACCTTGAATTGGGCAAAACTGTGCATCATTCAGCAAAGTTTTTCAATGTGTTGTTTAAAAGGATTTTTCTATAATGCAGTTTCAATAACTTACTGGGGAGAAACTAATTACTCGTTTCACTGTGCTATTCCTCTCCTTAACTGATACTTCCGTCCACGTTTATCCTAGATATTTATGTCTTTGGTAGTGGCCAGGACATCAACATAGAAGCTATTAATGAATTGGCTTCTCACAAGCCCAATGAGAGACACAGCTTCATTTTGAAGGACTTCGCTGAACTGAAAGAGGTCTTGGAGGAGAGTTTGGGTAATCTGAATTTTCGTTTCACTGATTTCATGACTAATCAACTTGGCCCTGATGTACTCAACATTTTGTTTCTCAGAAAAAAAGGCAGTTGGAAGTTTCTCCCTTTCACATACACACACAGAGCTTTTTCCTCGACTTACAACCATACATTTAGTGACTGTTCAAAGTTATAGTGACAGTGACTTATGACCAAATATGAACCTGTTGCCAAGCATCCAAATTTTGATCCCATGACCATGGGAATGCAGCAACGGTTGTGTGAAAATAGTCATAAGTCACTTTTTTCAGTGCCGTTGTAACTTCCAAACGGTCACTCAATGAACAGTGTTAAGTCAAGGACTACCTGTAAATCCTTCTTGTATTTTAACATGAGAAGGCATCACCCCTGCTTTGCGTGAGCTCTTAGGTTTTTTAGTCCATTTAATTTTTGTAATTTTAATGCTTCCTATATTCACAATTGTTTCTAGACTTCTATTTTTATTGCACTGTTAGCAGCCCAGAGTCCCTCTGGATAGTGAGACGGGCAGCATATAAATTTAATATACAAGTAGAAAACAACAATAAAAACTTTTCTACAGTTATACCATCCACACCAGAATGACAATAGGTGAAGTGGCTTTAAAGCCCAAACAAAAAAAAAGATTTGATGGACATCAGAGGAGAAATGGCTGGGAATCTGGGATCAGCAAACTTTCCAGTATGTGGGTATCAACTTCTTACGACTTTGCATGGTATCATGGATCTAATGATAATCATTGACGATGGCTCGGTTATTATTAGATCGCTTGCATTTTCACCTGAAATCTCAAAAGAACACTATTACCTTTAAGAGATTTGATAATCTCAAAAGAATTTGGTATCTCTTATACTTTGTCATAGTAAATGTTTAATTTGTGGGGTCAGCAGGCATCCTCTTGAAGTTTGGTGAATCTGTGGGGATATATCCACGAGTACCAAGTTGCCAAATCCACTTCAAAACTTTTCTCTGGTAGTGGTTGTATAGCAGGGGTCCCCAACCCCCAGTCCGTGGACCGGAACTGGGCCTTGGCATGCCAGAAACCCGTCCGTATAAACAAGCAAAGCCCCATCTGTGGAATGCAGGCAGTACACAAAACCACGGTACCCCCGGTCCGCAGAAAACCCTCTCTCTACAGAACCGGTCCCTGGTGCTCAAAAGGTTGGGGACCTCTGCCGTATAGGAACTATCCATCCACTTTGGTCTGTTTCCATTGCTCTCCTCCCAGGCTATGACAGTCACTTGTTTCCATTTCCTTCCGAAGAATCCAGAAGTCCCACCTCTCTGTCTCCCTTCCAACCTGTTCATTCCCTCCTGCTTTTTTTCTAGGAAGTTCTACCTTCCAAAAACATGTCTTTCTATTCTCAGATGACGGTGAATCTTTGCCCATGTGTGGTTTCTCCCCTGGAGAAGCAGCAGCAGATGACTATGAAAAGAATCCCTGGTTTGCAAGAATCGTCATCAATGTAAGACTGACTAGCACTGGGATAGATAGACACTTTAATTATGGGCATACGACCAGCACAAAAAGCATTTTTAACCAAAATCAAGCCAATCCAGTAAAGCAGGGGTGTCAAACTGCCGGCCCGCAGGCCGGATGCATCATAGCGAAACCGCGCCCACCTCATTGCCAGCAATGGCAAAAAAGTCACGATACGTCACGACACGTCACGAGTTTGACACCCCTGCAGTAAAGAGAACCAATAAAATGTGACCAGACAATATACCAAAAGAGAAATCTGCATTCCAAGCATGGAATGTGACAAGTTTCCAAAACCATTTCATTTTTTTAGTGGTTGACCAAAATGAAATATTCCATACTTCCAATAAAGGAATACAGAATAACGGAGTTGGAAGGGACCTTGGTGGTCTTCTAGTCCAACCCCCTGCTCAGGCAGGAAATCCTATGCCATTTCAGACAAATGGTTGTCCAATCTCTTCCTAAAAATGTCCAGTGTTGGAGCACTCACAACTTCTGGAGGCAGGTCATTCTAACTGTCAGGAAATTTCTCCTTAATTCTAGGTTGCTTCTCTCCTTGATTAGTTTCCATCCGTTGCTTCTTGTCCTGCCCTCTGGTGCTTTGGAAAATAGCTTGACTCCCTCTTCTTTGTGGCAGCCCCTGAGATATTGGAACACTGCTATCACGTCCCCCCTCATCCTTCTCTTCATTAAACTAGACATACCCAATTCCAGCAACTTAAATTAGACATACCCAATTCCAGCAACAAGGAGAATATTTACAGCTCAGGGTTGAAATGAAGGGTCCTTGATGCTGTCTGAGCTTGGTTGTTTGTTTGCAGATGTTTCATTACCCTAACTTGGTAATATCATCAATGCTAGTAATCGTGGTGGGAGATAGTAGGACTACTAGCACTGATGATATTTCCTAGTTCGGGTAATGAAACATCGCACAGACCATCAAGAACCCCTTATTCCATATTTCAAATGCAGAATTTTGCCCATAACTGCATAGTGACGAAATGTCTGGCAGAAGGCACTTTGTTCATGCTTCACCAACGCAAGATAATATTGTGGCATGCCTAAGAAGGAGCCCTTTAGTAAAAATGCCATCAAGATAGCAAAGTGTTCTGGGATCTGATTTGTTTTCCTTAACTGTCTTTGTTACTTTCTGTGATTGTGTGGGGTAGGTTATAAGGTCCAACTCTGTGTTTCTCAAATTTGGCAACTTGAAGATGCTGGTTGGGGGATTCTGGGAGTTGAAGTCTACACATCTTCAAGTTGCTGAAGTTGAGAAGCACTGTTTTAAGGTAAGACAGCTGCTGCTCTCTGTGATCACAGGATGATTTTTCACGTCTACATTTTAGGAATCACGGCAAGAAATCTGCAAGGGAGTCATTGTCTCTGACCGGGACATCTTGACAGCTGCCCACTGCTTGGCCAGGATTAATGGAATCGAAGATATCAGTGTCATCCTTGGTAAGCCAAATTCTAACAGGGGCGTGGAGATAGAAAGAAGAAGAAGAAGTAGATTACTAACTGGTAAAAAAAAGACTTGACTGCTTTGTTCTTGTGCCATTAACAGTAGGTCGTGATGGTTTAACACAGGGGTCCCCAACCCCTGGTCTGTGGCCCGGTACCAGTCTATGGACCGTTAGGAACTGGGCCACATAAGCTGCAGGCGAGTGCATGAATGTGCAAATCTGCATTTGTGCAAGCAGCATGCATGCGCTCAAAACTATCCCGTCTCTCTCCACCATTGCCGGTCCACAGAGCCAGAAAGTTTGGGGACCGCTGGTTTAACATTTCCATGGTTCCGTTATTATAATAGCCTCCATCATCTGTGAAGGTTTCCAGGAAGTTCACATTGTCTCTGTCTCTTCTTTAGGAACAACCAACTTTGCAGTAGCTGAAATCCGACGCCACCCAGAATACAATAGTCAGAATGTACAAAATAAGGACAGCCCAGAGTTCTATGATTTTGATGTTGCCCTGGTCAAACTCAAAAACCACCTTCCATCTTTTGCAAGGTGAGTTGAAAGGAGATGGATGCTGTAAAAGTTGGGTCTGTTGACAGATGATGTCCCTTTGATTTGCTAATTAAAAACTGTTCAGGTGTGTTGGAAGAAAAATGAGGTCCAGTAGTAAGACACTGGAAATAAAATAGAGGCTGACTGCTTAGGAAAGAACCAACAACAACAACATGTAGTTCTGGGATAGCTGACAAAATGGAGTTGAGAGTGGTTGGGTTTTTGTACCTTCTTTGGGCTTTGTGTTTGAGATGCCTATTGTGAAATGTACTTTGACACATGCTTGATTGTGCCCTTTTGGTATTTAATTATTGTTGCCTGACTCCCATTGTGACATGTCCTGTCCTTGGAGCTGGGTGGGGAATGTAGATTTTAGGAGTCTTTGTTTTTCTAATCCCATCTGTTCCAGCCTTCTGTGAGAGCTGCGGCTGAAGGCATTTTGCTTACGAATAGTATGGCCCCAGTCTTTCTGAATGGATTAAAAAATCTCCATTTCTAAAGATTGACCTCCTCAGGTTTCTGCCTAAGGAAGGAAGAATGGGGCTGTTTCTGCCCTTGTTAAGTTGCCAAGTATCTGAATTTTGATCACATGATCATGGGCATGCTGCAACAGTCGTAAATGTGAAAAACGGTCATATGTCGCTTTTTTTCAGTGCCATTGTAACTTTGAATGGTCACTAAATAAAGTGTGGTATGTTGAGGACTACCTAAATTTCTGTAGGTAAGGTGGTAGACGGCACTTAGAATGGCCTGTGCTAGGGATAATGCATCTGTCTTTGCTCTCTTTAACTTCTTGGCAATCTTCGATATAGATAGTCCTCGACTTACAACTTTTCAGTTAGTGACCGTTCAAAATGACTTGAAGCAAAAGATTTTTTTTACTGTTTTGTGCATATCCCTAATTGTATGATGTGGACCCCATCATGGGAGATATTATAACGATCACTGTCCTTTCCGATAACCCCTTCCTATAGGCCAGTCTGCCTGCCATGTACAATAGAAACCACTCGGATTCTGAGAAAGCCACACCCACAAACCACGTGTAAGGATCACGGTAAGAAGAAAGCTAAGTGTTCAATTCTCAGTAGGCACAACAAACATTTTTAGCATTCCTTCCCCCCCCCCCACAAACTTCCTTTTGTTTTTCCCCACGAGGCTCTGCCATTTTGTTGGGGGAAGGATCAACTGAATGTTGATCCATTGGTTGCAACAGGAATTGATCAACCGGTTTGTTGCCTGAACCTAACTATCCGTGTTTCCCTGAAAATAAGACCAGGTCTTATATTAATTTTTACTCCAAAAGACGCATTAGGGCTTATTCTCCGGTTAGGGCTTATATTCGGGGAAATACGGTACTAAATGCATCTGTCTGGCTGATGATCTTAACTGGGGCTTATTTTTGGGGTGGGGCTTATATTACGAGCATCCTGAAAATTCATGCTAGACCTTATTTTCCGGTTGGGTCTTATTTTGGGGAAAACACTGTACAGTAACAGTGGGTCTGGCTCAAAATCAGCCAGATGTCTTTCATGCCTAAGACGGAACTAGAATTCACAATCTCCTGGTGATTGGCCCAAAGTCACTCAGCCAGATTTCATGCCTAAGGTGGGACTAGAATTCGTGGTCTCCTGGTTTCTAGCCTGGTGCTAGATCAAACTGTCTCTCCATTAGCCATTCCTAGTTATGAATTATAACTCTTGATTTAATAGACTAGTAAAGTGATGGCGAACCTTTTAGAGACCGAGTGCCCAAAACCCGCCCACCCGCCCCTGCTCCACCTCTCGCCCTGCCTGCTCCGCCCTTACCCGCCCCCTGTCCCGCCCGCCCGCCCACAGGGCCACCCACCGCCTTCATGGCCCGCCGCAGATTGCCCAGGCGGCCCTGCAGCGCCCTGGCAGCCACGCCCTTCACCCGCTGCACCCTGAACATCATCTGCACGCGACGGGGCGCGAGGGCGGAGTCTTGTCCCTGCTGCCCGGCTGCCATGTCCTTGGCTGCACTGCTCTGTGCAGGCCACGCCTGGGGGCGCCTCTCCTCCAGGGGGCTGCAGGGGGAGGTGGGGCTGAGGCAATGGCACATGTGCCCACAGAGAGGGCTCCGAGTACCGCCTCTGGCACCCATGCCATAGGTTCGCCACCACTGGACTAGTAGAAGGAAAGGGGTGTCCATTAAAACCGAATGTCTTTTAAATGTAGTGTTTAATAACAAGAAGAAGGAATAGAGTAAGGCTGGGGTGTTTTATCCTCTCTCTCTCTTTCTCTCTCTCTCTCTCTCTCTCTCTCTNTGTCTCTCTCTGTCTCTCTCCCTCCCTCCCCCCCCTCATGTTTTTCAGCCTTGGCAACTTTCAGATGTGTGGACGTCAACTCCCAGAATTCCCTAGCCAGCCTTACTGACTGGGGAATACTGGGAGTTGAAATTCACACATCTGAAAGTGGCCAAGTTTGAGAAACACTGGAATGCCAACTCAAATACATCTACATTGGACGTGTACCATATCTAACAGAATAACAGAGTTGGAAGGGACCTTGGAGATCTTCTAGTCCAACCCCTTGCTCAGGCAGGAAACCCTATACCATTTCAGACAAATGGTTGCCCAATCTCTTCTTAAAAACTTCCAGTTAAAGGATTCACAACTTCTGGAGGCAAGTTGTCCACTTATTAATTATTCTCACTATTAGGAAATTTCTCCCTAATTCTATGCTGGTTCTCTCCTTGCTTAGTTTCCATCCATTGCTTCTTGGTGCTTTGGAGAATAGCTTGACTCCCTTTTCTTTGTGGCAGCCCCTGAGATATTGGAACACTGCTATCATGTCCCTCCTCATCCTTCTCTTCATTAAACTAGACATGCCCAATTCCATATTTGTCCATTGAAAACCTAGTTCTCCCCCTCCATCCATTCTTTATAGATTAATACCTCACTAATATTCACCCCTACTTTACATTTCTTGTTTTTTTCCCTAGAGGAAGAACTCCTGTATGGTGGAAATATTCCTTCTCTTTTCATCGCCACCTGTAAATATAGGAATGGCCAGAAACCTGGATTGCTCAGGAGAAATGTGTGGATCAAGAATGGAGAAAAGGTGCTAACAGGGGATTAACTTGGAATGGAGGCTACTTACATCATTAGCAGTTCAGCACCAATAATAGGTTTGCTATCCTATACAGGCAGTCCTCAACTTACAACCGTTCCTTTAACAACCATTCAAAGTTACAACAGCACTGAAAAAGGAGACCAATCCTCACAAAACCATTGCTGATTCCCCTGGTCATGTGATCAAAATTTGAGCCCTTGTCAGTTGACATGTATTTATGATATTTGCAGCATCCCAGGACCATGTGATCACCATTTACGACCATCCTGGCTGGTTTCCAACAATCAAAATCAATGGGGAAATCCAGATTCACTTAACAGCCACATGATTTGCTTAATGACCATGGCAAAATAGCTTGTAAAAGCAGGCACGAATCAATGATTGCCTCCCATAGCTGAGGTGGCACAGTGGTTAGATTTAGAATGCAGTACTACAGGCTACTTCGGCTGATTGCTGGTTGCCAGCAGTTCGGCTGTTCGATCCTGACCAGTTCAAGGTTGACTCAGCCTTCCATCCTTCCGAGGTCGGTAAAATGAGGACCCAGATTGTTGGAGGCAACATGCTGACTCTGTAAACCACTTAGAGAGGGCTGTAAAACACTGTGAAATGGTATATAAGTTCAAGTGCTATTGCTATTGCTATTAGCAAAGGACATTCCAGCCCCAATTGTGAACATAAGCCGAGGACTATCTACATTGCAAAGTCCTGCTATCAGTGTCACATAAGTAGCAAACCTCTCTCCAGACCAGTGGTTCTCAACCTTTTTAATGCCGCGACCCCAACCGGTCGTAAGTCGAGGACTAAACCGGCCGTAAGTCGAGGACTAAACCGGTCGTAAGGCGAGGACTACCCAACCGGTCGTAAGGCGAGGACTTTCCCTGCCCGGGAGCGCCGCACATGCGTGGTTCCGCCCCCTGCGCCGGCCGAGGCATAGCTGGCAAGCGGCAGAGACGGAGCAGGCCGACCACCAGCTGGCCCAGCCCAAGGGAGGTAAGGCACCCGCTGGAAAAGGGGAAAAAAATGGCAGACAAAAAAATGGCGGACAAAAAAAATGGCGGACAGCCTTGCTTGGCGACCCCCGTGAAATGGTCGATCGACCCCAAATGGGGTCCCGACCCACAGGTTGAGAACCACTGCTCCAGACCATCTTTCCCCAGTCTGACTCCCTCAAGATACGTTGCTGCTACAGCTATCAGAGTTTCCCAACAACCATCATGGTTGAAGATGCCTGGGTTCGACAGCTTCAGATCCTTCTGGATGTGTCTGATGTTTCCTTAAATCTGCGTCTCCATTTCTCTCTTCAGAAAATGGCCTGCTACCTGGATGCTGAGAAAGCCAGACGATACGAGAACGTTGCAAATATCTCAGAGGTGTTGAATGAGCACTTCCTTTGCACAGGAGGCACCGATCTGCAAGTGGACCCCAACGTTTGTTCATGTAAGGACAGTGGGTTTTTTTGAAAAAAAAAAAAATGTGCCGGAACTCACACATGTCATACAACCCGCCTTGCCTACCAAACAAGGTTCCATCCAAAAAAGGTGCCTGAACTCCGTTCTGGGCGTTCGATGACAAAAAAAGCCCTGTGTAAGGAGAATTGGCCCTAAATCTTATTCCTTCTCTTTAGCTCTAAGAAGTAGGTGAATTTCCAAAGCAGCAAGTGACTTGGCCGAGTGGTAGCCCCATTAGGTAGATTAGACTAAAATATTAATTCCACAGGAAGCTAAAGCTACTTTAATTGAGATTGGCTATAATAATAAAGTCTTGTGGGGGGGGGGGAATCAGAGGAAAAACATTAACAATTCAATCCCTCCTCATTCATCTATATAAATAAAAATGTAAATGTTTGTTTGTTCAAAATCTTAAATCTCCGAAAGTTCTTCACCGATTGCTTTGAAATTTTGACACAACGTTGCATTCGAATACGCACGCGTTTTTATATACCTATATTATATAGATGTCACACCTGTGACAGGTAAAACATGCTTTTTTGGAAAAACAGCGCCATCTGTTGGACGTAAACCAGACTGAGCCACAGCAACGCGTGGCCGGGTACAGCTAGTTACTTCATAAAATTAGAAACTTTTTGATGCCTGAAATGTTTGGGGAACCGGCTTCTAGTACACCATTCAGGTTTAGAGCTTGACTGCGCTTAGCCAATTAATTCCTTGGCTAAGCTTCTTTCTTCTCTTGGTTGCAGATGACGCTGGTGGACCTCTCCTCATTCAGAGAAGGCTACGTTACATCCAGGTGAGTGGTTACCTGAGCCAAACCCAGCCTCTTCTCAACCAAACAGACCAACCTTCCAACCTTCCAATATAAACTGGAAGCTC